GCCGTTGTGTGACCTACCAAGTCCTCAGGACGCAGGTCAACTAACGGAAGAGCAAACTGAAACCTCGGCCAAACCCAAACCCAAATATCGGGGAGTCTATGTTAAACATGCACCGAGGCGTCCCGTAACCCCGAATTCACTAGAGGCGAATTCGTCCATACTATCGTACCAACCACTGTCTCGGCAGACGAGGAACAAGGGCTGGCCCACCAGAACGCAATAAAGATCGGTCTTGATACGGGCGATGGTCGTCAACGTTCGAACACCAGCCTTTGACGATTGACGTGTAGACTGAAGACATTCCGTCAACCACCTTTCCCTTCTGACACAGAGACTAGAAACTGTATCCTTCTGGGTATGCGTGGGATGAATACCAAAGCGAAGACATTGCCCCCCTAACGAGAGGCATGCGGAATAAGTAGGCACAGCCCTTATGCTAAACCTACTCACGATATCTCCTCGTTCGTAGACAAGCTTGCGGATGAAACAGGCCAAATAATATCGGTTGACCTGCAGAGCCTGTCTACTAACGTGTAGCTGGATGAAACCCCGTCTCCTTAGCCCCGCATGGGGAATTAATATCTCATGATGTGCCACCGCAGCCACGTTTGAAGAGATTTCGCTGTAGCCCAAACTCTCTCCCCTACTAGCACCATGACCAGCGGTACGTCTGAACAGCATTTCCTGTTTTTATTTGCTTGTTATTTTCGATCACCCTAGGTTGCTTTCTTATTGGTCAGTTATAAGTATACATGAAGCGTTAGCAGCTGAATAAGAGGTCACAAAATCTTCCGAAGCTTGTCACCTTCATCTTGTACTGCGACTTTGCCTGATCAGGGCAAACAGTCACGCGGACAGGGTGTGGGCAACCCACACGCTCAGTGACAGCTGGCCTAATTGTCGCTTAATTATCACGCCAATATTCAACACGGATGATACAATCGCGGCCAATTACGACGCGGACGCGAACTCCCAAGCCAGCATCGCATCAACTACGACCCGTAGCGATGATCATGAGAGCTGTTGCATGTAGTACGGATGTAGTCGAATTTCACGATCCATGGACACGTTTAAGATGAAGTTAGACCAGTATAGCCACCGCGTCATTCGAGACTAGCACGAGGCAACCACCGAGTATTTACATGTCATAAAACGTACTACCGGCTATGTTTCAGTAGTACTTGTGTAGAATTATTACCTCCTGCGCTGCCAACGCAATTAGAATTAGTACCTCGTACATTGCGTTGTCCCCCTTTATCTCTATACGAACTGCAACGATCGCGTCAATCATCGCCTCCACCGAACCTTGTGGTGCTAGGCTACATGGCCCTGTAAAAATCTTCCTAATGATGTTCCATAACCGACTGCTGAGGATCGTGGCGGGCCCCCCTGTTTTCGTCCCCATGTCGGCAGACTCGGTAACCTGCAAGGGCTTATACTGGGCGCAGCTCCGACACTGCGGTGATGTTCTCGTGACCTCTGCGATCTTCTCCCCATGTAACCCTTAGGACATTGATAAAAACCACGATGGGCTCCTCCTGACATGCTTCAAACATTCTCAGAATTTCCTTTTGTGGTCTTTAGCGCTGCATTGAATTTCGGTCCACTGAAACCATGTCTGCCCCTGTGGCATGCACAATTGTTGCTTCAATAATCCTGAATTCTGACAGTGCTCACTGTTGTTTGCTATAAATTACTATTTAATTTTTCCCCGACATCTGTACTGAGGCAATAAGTCAACACACATAGCCAAATCCACTTTTTCGAGTTTAAAGTTCTGCTAGCGAGTAACACAGGTGGATTTATAGAGTCTAAACTGAGTATTATAATAAAAAGTTAATTTAAAAAAGTAACAGCTGTGCTCTTAATCAAATTTGCATAGTTCGTTGTTTTCCACCAAAACATAATACAAACCCCTTTTTTGACAACCAAACCCATTTTTCTATTATTTTTAACTATTGATTTTTCGGTAATAATAAAATTGGTCGCCCATCCTAGATGTCCCTAGCCCCAAAATTTTGTCTTACAGAACCGGTGATATTAGTGTAGCTAAGTTTTTTTACTTTTTATTTAGTTTATTAGTTTAAATTTAGTTTTACTGTAGTTTAGTTATTGTTTAGTTATTTTCGTTAAGTCTAGCTTAGTTTTGTGTAGTTTAGTTTAGTATATAGTAGTTATTTAATTAAACTTATCTAACTTTGGCGGTATTTAATCAAACTAAACTGAAATTCAGCTAATTGACTAAATAATAAACTACAAACTAAACTGAAACTAAAGTAAAACTGATATTAACCACAGGACTAAGGGCAAGGTGTATCTAGGGTGGTCAACCAACTTTATTGTTATCGATTTTTCAATACCATACTTTCCCCGGTCATTTATGGTATCGCATTAATTGTTGACAGGTCAGGGCGTCCTGTCTTTGGCTTGCGCAAGGCCTTAGTGTCTTTCATAATATCTACGACGTCCTGGGATTTCCCAGGCCGAAAGATTGACTTCTTGAACGACGCGGACTCGCAGGAAGTGATAGGAAAGAAGGCAATAACACTGACATCTTGAACTCCATGTAACTTACAGGAGGACCTCGTGGACCAAGGTCACCGACCTCGCCTGGAGCTCCGGCATATCCGGGCTTACCCGGCTGTCCATCAGGGCCGCTAGCACCAGCACGACCCTCGGGTCCCATGGGTCCAC